TGTATGCTGTCGGTAAAAAAGAACAATACGCCAGGCAAGGATGGTATCACCATCTGTATGATACAAGTCCTCAATGACAACTATATTAAAAGGTTTGCAGAATTTGTCAAGAAACGTTAGAAAAGGGTACCGTCCCAAACGACTGGAAACATGTGAAAATATTAACAATTTCAAAGTATCGAAAGGCTCCCATCTTGGAAACTCTGAGACCGATTTCGTTGATTTCCTGTTTAGGAAACGTTTACGAGGGAATCGTGCTTTGCAGGCTGGAGACCCATCTGGGAGATGACAAACTTATGGCGCACACCATGTTAGGTTTCTGAAAAAGCACAAGACGTTTTCCTGCATATCAAGAAGGAGGTGCCTACCGGCGTGCAAAAATACGCCGTAAACGTATTACTTGCTCTTGATCTTAAGGCTGCTTTCGACAATGTCAGTCATAAGCCTGTGCCACAGGGGCTTACCACAAAAAGTTGTGGGAAGAGAATGCACAAGTACATGTAAGCTTTCCTCAGTAAAAGAACCACCACAATTGGTGTAAGAAGTATCTGGTCTGACACGTTTATTACGTCGGCAAAAAGAACACCCCAAGGTTCTTTGATATCCCCGATGCTGTTTGCCATCGTCATGATCGGCCTAGCCCAGAACATTGAAAAAATTTCAATGATTCAGACATAATACACAGACACACTACACAGGCGATGTGACAATATTGGTGGCAAGATGATATTTTGGACAAAAACAAGACCTTCTGCAACGCGCAGTAGATACAGTTCTGGACAACTTGCGACTATATGGCCTTGTCTGCTCTCCGGAGAAATACGAAGTAATGAGAGTCTACAGACGATCATACGATCTTCAAAACTGCATAGACATCTATATTGCGGGGAAGAACATTCCAGAAGAATCCCAAATTAGGGTTCTTGGCATGTGGGTACAAAACAACTGTCGTATAGACCAGACCATAAGAGAGCTGTCAAACAGTACAGCGCAGATGACGAGGATGATGACCGGAATCTCTCAATGAAGACGGGGTATGAAGGAGGAAGACACTTGTAGACTAGTACAGGCTCTCGTGGTCAGTGGAATTGTATGCAGTGTCCCCTACCAAACAACACTTGCGCAGGAAAAGGAACAATTAGAGGTGATCCTTAGACTGCCAACAAATGCACCCTTGGTCTGCCAGTCAGAACCTTGACAGATAAATTCCTTAAACATGTTATGAAAACACGGTGCAAGAACACATCTAGGCGCATCTTCTTGCGCACACTACTGCTGACTCCTACCGGCAGGTACACAGTCAGACATTGGGCATTAGGGTTGCTTGCGGAGAAATTAATAGCGCGGCGAGCATACTGGAGGACATTCGCCAGATCATTGAAGTCATCCCAATACCTCAAAAATTCACTTAAAGATACATAAGACCCGAACATGAGCAATATCAGAAGCACACGATAAAATTTTAGAGCGATAGCTAACGTATTGTTCGTAGGTGCGATCACATACAGAGAGCACTCCGAGGCAGTTGCAAGCGTTGTTGATCACCATCTTAGGGAAGTCGACAGCGCTTCGATTAAAAGCAACAACGTCCTCGAGGCTGAGGAAGTGGCGATCGCACTTGTCATCACACACCAGAGCGAAGAGCCTACTGCAGAAATAGTCACTGACTCGCATGAAGCGTGTCGACGATACAGCAGTATATGCATACCCACTGCTGCCATTCGCATGCTCAAGGAAAGCAAAATCACCTTCTCCAGCTACTCTATTATGCTCACACCGGGCCATAAAACTTTTACAGGAACCCAGCCTGCCGACGCCATTGGCTGAGGATACGCCGACCGGGGAGCGCAAAACGACGAGTAACCAGCCAGAGATACTAGACACTATAAAGCAGTTTTGGAGCACCAGAGAGCCCTGAGGAGGATATACTCCCTCTCCCACGAAGACCTAAACGGAGAACAGTCGGTTGCCTGGAGACAGCTGCAGACTAATACGTACCCCAATCTAAGTCTTCCGAGTAAAATCTATTCAGCAATATACGCCAACTAATGCGCGCAATGCGGAGCACCCCATACGCTTTATCACCGGTCATGGGCTTGCGAACACAGACACGTATAGTGCCAAGAAACTGTACACAAATGCAGGAGTGGTGGATGAAAGCGATCTCTTGCTCTAAGCCTGAAGAACAGCTCAAGCTGATCGACAGAGCTTGCAAGATGGCAAAAGCCAAAGGGGTTCTGGACTGAGGGCTCCACCTTTGATGAAAAAAAAAGTTTGAAATAAAGTTTTGCATTGGAATACTGGATCTATTTGAGGGCATCGCTCACGAGAACAAAGTTGGGATGGCCCCCGAAGGTGACACCAGGGCGGCGCTTGCGCCTAAATTCAAAGTCCAATCTACCTGTGGACCAAACCGTCCACACTCCAAGGGACCAGCAGCAAACTGATGCCGGACCACTGGATAGTCCCTGAAGACGTCTAGCAAGGAGCTAGGCGTACACGGAAAGCACCATGCTCCGGGCCTACTTCCTAGTTTTTTAGTATGTAACGATGTGTAATGACTTCAAACTGTGCTTTGCAACCTTAAACGTTCGAGGTTTTGCCTCCAAGAAAAAGCAGGCTCAAGTGTACCACCTGTCAAATAATCAAGATATTGACGTGTTAGCCGTGCAGGAAACAAAAGGGGAAGGTAAGGAAAAGACGCGGAGCATGATGTTGTGGTTTACGTCTAAATATTACTCCATGTTTACTCACGCGAATGGAACTTTTGCCGGCTGTGTGCTTTTCAGTGAAAATAATCCGGGATTGATTGTTCAAAGCCATTTCTCTTGTGACTCCGGCAGAATAGTTATTCGTGATTTTAGAAACGAGTAAAATTGAATGGCGCGTCATTTATTGTCTATGTGCCTCACGTAGAGGAGGAGCGAGAAACGTTCTTTTCATTAATTAAGCCACAATAATGGACCCCAAAACAGCTTGTTTTATTGGGAGATTTCGATTGTGTAGTGAGCGCGAAGGATAGAAATAACAACCGCCGTCTGCTAGATTTAAGTGTTGAAGTGTTCTAATACTTGGTAAATGTATCCGACCTGAATGATGTAGCGGAGTGCCTCGAGGCAGGTCGCAAAGTTCGTTTTACGCATTTCAAGGAACCAGTCACGCACGCCTTGATGGCCTATACAAGGCTTGGAAGGGGATATCTATGAGCAATAGTTACACAGTTTTACCTGTTTCTTTCTGTGATCATTGTCTTGTACTTTGTAATGTGGGAGCTAAACAAAAACAAAACAAATTTAGTAGGAATTTATTGAAGTTTAACGCTAAACTCCTTCGGGGCGACAATTTTATTAAGTTTGTGATAGACAAAATTAAAAACAATAAGGTGATCGGCACCTGTATTATTGGCGAGGAGGTGCAAATAATAAAGCAAAGCGTTAAAAATGAAAGCCATACTGAAATGTAGTGCTTTAAAACATGAAGAAAATATTAAAAAAATGGACTCAGAACAACACTTAATAAATGAATAGCACTAGAAAGTAAGGAGCCCGGGCAAATAAAGAATATATTTGAATGATCAAACGACAAATTGAGCTATTTGAGCAGGAACGCTACACAGGAGCCCTTTTTCGAGCGAGAGCTGAAAAATGGGCTGTGGGGGAATCTCTTACGAAGCGTGCGCTTGAAATCGAGAAATCAAAAGCGCATCGTAATCACATCAACAAATTAGAGAAAAATGACATTCTGCTAAATACTAACAGCACTAGGCATGCTTTGCTTTTATGGCATTCGTCATAGAGGTGCTCCTAGCAGAAGGAGTTGACAAAAGCAGTTTTTTAAATATTTTTCTTACAATAACCAGACATTGGTTGGCTATATGTTGGTTGGTATATGTTGGCTATATTCTTCTGAACGCGTTGATTAAACATTTTTGAAGCTGCAACAGAGGCACCTCGAATGAACGGAATTCATTGTACAGTGAAGTGTAAATGTGCTGCCAAGCACAAAGTTTATTCAGGAATTATACAAAAAAGACATGCAGATCTCACGCATTGTGACATTCATCTCATGTTCTGGTAGCAAACGTTACGAGGTAAATGGAGGATCTGGTGTGATAAAACCAGTAATTGTGCACGAAGTGAGCACAACCACAGGCTCTGTGATTGGTTTAGCGGCTTCTTAGTGCTTTCAAATGTCATTGGCAGGTGTCATGATTCGACGCGACCTTGCAACCCAAGATTCACAATGCTTATTGCAGCACAAAGCTTAATTCAGAAGCGCCTTCCCGAGGACATTCGCTACCCAAAAGAATGGCAGCTCAAATGCAGCCGCTACTTCGTTCGGCTGAGCAAGCCCGAATCTTGACGCTTTAGCGAGGAACTAACAACATATTTCAAGACACAGAGGACAAACTGGGTCTTCGTAGGCATGATACATCTGATTAATTATTGCGAACGCGTGGCTCTAGTAGATACGTTGCAACTGGTAAATCCCAAACAGTAAGTTCACCTCACGTCTTTCGCACGTTAGAGTAAGTTTTCCACGCTCGTAGGAAGATTTTACTGCATTTTATGTGGAGTGTCTTAGCGTTAGATCAAAATAAACTAATATTTTTTTCTTTGGAATTACAAGTAGTGAAATTATTTTGGATGTTTTGCAGCCCATTATGAAGCTTATTATGGAAGATATTGTGAATGTATTTACATAAAAGATTTTATATCGTAATTTTTTGTGCAGCGATGAGCCATACTATGCTGAATGCACCGGTCCTCTTGTGATCACCGAAACTAAGCAGCATTGGGCTCAGTTGCACTTGAGAAGAAGACTTTTCCTGTGATTTTAAGTTATTCGCCCGTAAGTTTATCGCAGCAGTAGCGCCTTATTAGTGAAAATTGATACATTTGAAAGGTGTTTGGCATATAATGAGGTGGTTCCTTTGCTTCGACCACGAAAACATTTTTTGCAGGGTGCGGTGGCAGTGTAGGTCTGGCTCAAGAGCTTACCTAGTCTTTCAATGGCTTCCGAGATTTCATCGAAGTCTCCTCCAGTGCCGTTACTTTGTTCTCGGGGTTTTGCCAGATACATGTTACTGTGCTGCTCATTCTCCTGGCTTTCGATGTCATACTCCAAGTTGTTGTCGCCATTTACTGTTTCCCTGGCTTCTATGGCTGTGTGAAATATAGTTATGCACAATGAAGGCAATATTTAAAATATAACTGTTTTCTATTGACGTATTTACCACGTCTCCTACAAAAGGTACACTTCGTACACATGCATTCTATGAAGAATTTGAGCCGGCTTTGTGTAGAACTGCCACTCTATAGAAAGGCCGTGTTTAATTCACATGTCTACCAGGTATTAACGATATCAGTAATGGTATGCATTTCGTAGTTAGATTGTTAGTGGATGACTGCTTGATCTACAGACAAATTAAGATCTCTCAAGATGCCTACCGATTTCTGTCTGACGTAGCAAATCTTAGTGAATGGTATATTGAGTGGCAAATTCAACTTTACGTAAATGAAACAAAAGCTATCAGGTTTAAAATAATGATCAACCTTGTGTTATACGACCACATATTGAACAACATACCCATAGATTGCGTATCAACAATAAAATACCTTGGTGTTCATTAAGGACAGGATCTATCATTGAACACTCATATAGAAGCAATTGTTTGTGAAGTATCGAGATCTCTTGGTTGCATAAGGCCACATTTGCATCCGGTGAACTCCGAGACTAAACATGCTTATAAGACCGTAGTACGCTCACAAATTGAATACACCTTCTTAATCTGGAATCCACATCAGGCCTACTTCATCAGGAGCTGGAGTCTGTACAAAATAAGGCTGCTCGCTCCGTCTGAAAAAACCTCTTGCAACCATCAAGCATAACTGATATGAAATCTTCCCTCTACATAGGTTCTCCAGAAAAGCACAGGATGATGAAACTGTTGTCTTTCTTTCATGAGCTATACTACAATCAGTCATTCCAGGATACCTTTATTATCAGGCCCGCTCGTCATATACCTTCACGACTAGATCAACTGTCTAAAATTGAACGCATTTCGTGCTTGAAATAATCTTTTCGGTCGTTACCACTTCTCATCGCCATTCGTGCATAGATCGCTTGGCGTACTGGCATCCCACATACTGTTAATCATGAGTCATTTTTTATTCATTTAAAGTAATTTCAAAATTGTAAGCTACTACTTATAACAACTTGTGTCCCTCCTCCGATGAAAGTACTTTTGATTATTAAGCGCTTGAATCGTGGTTGCTTTTCTTCTTGTGATTGCTTTATCTTAGTAATTGTTTACCCTTCCAATGCTTTGGTTTTATTTACTCTTGTTCATGTATTTTTTATTAAATTGCTTATATTTTGTCCACTACTTTCCTCAATATCCCCCCCCCCCTGTCTATGTGTTGCCTTCTGGGCTTTTAGAGTATATGAATATTAAACAGTGCGCGGCAGTGGACAGACGTTCTTCAGGGTTATCTTTTTAATTTGCCGGATATTGACGCAGAAGCGATTGAAGCCATCGTTCTTTTTGACGAAGACCACCGGAGAAGACCATGGGCTCTGTGAAGATTGAATGACACCTTCGTAGACTAGTTTGGCAATGGCGTGTTGTTCTATAGCGAACATGTGATATGCTCATTGCCGCAGCGTTTATTGAGACCAGTGTCAATGTTGCACTCGACTGCTAGGGCATGGCCTGACACAGCTGACGAAGCAGCGGACGGTTAGATGCTTGTGCTACGTTGAAAGAGGAGGGATGGTGCCAGGGGATGGTGAGGGGCATTGAAAGCTAGAGAAGTGTCAATTTTGCAGCGACGAATGGTCCAAATATGTATGTCCATTTTGCTCACGCAAAGAGACGACACGCAGTTTACATACGGTGGTAGAAGCCACATCTTCGAGACGGAAAAATTCAGGCAAAGTTGGTCGTCCTGACGTAGCCAATGCACACGTGACAAAGCAGAGATCGCGGGGGTGATTGATGATAGCAGATGGGCATTGTGGTGGAGATTTCATGAAGAGGCCGAGAACAGCAAAAGACAACGAGAAGAATATTTCAGTCATGACTATTTCAGATGGCGTGAAGATGACCATCCTGGCACTGCGCGAAACTGGCACGAACGTTAAAGAGCAAAGATGGATGCAGGTATCGCTGTTCGTGACTAGTTTAGCGGCAGATGCATTATCGACGAAGGCTCGTTCACTAAGTAGGCAGAATTAAACCTCAACCCAAGCAAAATCAATCAGGGCGTTGTGGCACGACAAAAAGTCCTATACCAAGCTAATGATACGCGAAAACGATGAAAGAACAATGAACCTTATTCTCTACAGAACGTCCTAAATAGTTACATTGGCTGAACATACAATGGTGGCGCATAGGGGATGAGCGTAAGTTAGTCGACCGAGGGCGGTGATCCTTCTGGTAGCGAGCTTGCGTTGGATAGAAGAATTGCAATGCTAGTTTGAGTCAAGCTGGAAGTAGTGTTGCTGGAGGTTTTCGTTGGCTACTTGCACCCGGCGCTGGCAATACCTCACGGCGCGTCCTCGTTATCGACTGCGAAGCCTATCAGGCGAAGGTTGACTCTGCGCTACAGGTTGGTAGTGCTGACGTCAATCTACTGGAGGGAAAGTGTGGGTTCAGTCACAGGACGCCAAAACGGTGGTGCGAGTACTGTGAAAAGGGGCATGGTGGCAGCAATGGCGTATGTGAGTGAAGCAGCAACAAGATTTTACTCGGGGGCCGCTGGTAGCGTCTCAGTGACCTCTCCTTCACTGATGCCACTGACAAAGAGAATGACGGCACTGTTGTGCTACGTTTGCTAGTGAAGGGCCCCTAAAGAGCTGTCTTACTATTTCGCCGAAGACAAACTATTTTATTTTGGCTCTTATACAGCAGCGCTTCATCGTGGCCGTTGTTCAGACTACACAGCGATGAAAAATCGTACGCTGGAGGACGGCTTGTCAATGCTCGCTGAATATGCAGTTCATCGTAGCTCAGACACAAGCGTTGAACGTCGCTAGCTATGGACTAAGCCTTCACCAAGAGCCCTTAAAAAGCATCATCATCAATGCCTTTCATTGTGTGCTTGATTTTTGCAGTTTCCATCATTGTGGTGTTCATGCATCTCCACAAGTCGGCAACGTCTTCAATACAACTGGTTATTGCTTTACCCTTTTCTTGTGCGTATGTGCGGAAACGCTGCTCAGCTCGGAGTTTTCAGATAGCAGGTCTGTTGAAGACAGTCTTTAATGATGTTGGCGCCCGTTCTGCGGAAAATTGAAGGCTGCCGCTGGGGAAAACTGCCAGAATAGGTGCAGATGCGCAGCTGTTTATTTGTGTTCGGCTTCGCCAACACTCTGTGCCGAAGTACAATATATATATATATATATATATATATATATATATATATATATATATATATATATGTGTGGGGGTGCGGTTAGACGGGTTCCGTGGCCGAGGAAGCGTAAATGGCCTTCCTGGTGTAGCATCGCCGGAACGCTGAGGACGCACGAGCACCGGTGGTGTTCGCTTTAGGGCAGCGTTTCCGACAACGGCGCCAATATCAGGGAGAAATGAGAGACAACGCCTGTATTCGAGGCCGACTGTCCTTATTCTCCTCCAGCCGGATATGCGCCCATGCCTGAGCACTGCGCTTTTCTCATCGTATATATATATATATATATATATATATATATATATTGAGTTAACTTGCAGATAGCACATTGAGTTAACTTTCAGAAGGACTTAGTCTGACGAAGGCCGTGCCACGGCCGAAACGTTAGTAAATACGATCCTTTTCTTATGTGCTATCTGCAAGTTAACTCAATATAGAAAATACCCGGACCTGTCGTGCCTTCCCTTCAAGTTCTATATATATACCTATGTATATATATATATATGTATATATATTGCGACGCCTTTTTAATGAACTTCGGTGATTTTGAGCGTACATCTATCTACCTAGCCGCTCACGTTTGGGTGCTCTCGTGGTTACCTCTTTACCTTGGCATGAACCATACTTAGCATGGGAGTGTAATAAAATGGTTTGACAAATATGACGCGCTGGTAAAGTCATGAATAATGTCACAATCCCGTCCCGTACGTCGTCAAACATTTCCCGCCCGACAGTGGCACGTACGCATGGGCGGGTATGTGCCACTGGTATGCGGGTATGTGCTACAAAAGATTGACAGTATCAACACAGGAACGACGAGAACACAGATGGACCAGAAATACCCGACATCGGTAGCGCTGACACGACAAATGCCAATAATAAATGAAAGGGTCCCAGCTGGAATCGAGCCGAAGCATTCTGCGTGCCAACGATGCATTCTATTATAGAGCTGCGCCAGGTCTTGGAACTACTTTTCAAATAGACGCTAATCGTCGTAAAACGTCAATAGTGGTTGCAGTGCTGCGTAGCCAATTTTATAAACACTACAAGTGTACTTCTTTAATCCAGCCGCCACGTTAGGTTAACGTCAAAGATGGTTGGTTTGTTGCCATGCGCTGAGTTGCCTTATGTAGCAGTGTCCAGTTCAGCATGCTCGCGAGCATAAGCGCTTCATATCAGCTTCTGGTGTTGCTAATACGCATGATCTAGTTGGCATCGTTGCGCAAGTGCGAAGAACTGGTTATATAAACATCTGCAAACATCTACAAACATCTGCAAATGTGTCTGTGTGAGCAACAAATGTACATATAATTAGCAGCGTCATTTTTTGACATGTCGCTCAATAAATAATTGCAGCATGGTTACCTTCCTTCCGCACGCTTCGCATAACATTGATATCAAGGCACGTGAGATCTGTCAATTTATATATACACACATATATATATATATATATATATATATATATATATATATACATATATATATATATATATATATATATATATATATATATATATTTATATATCATGAGAAATTAACGTTCATATAGCAGGCCGGATGTTCTTATCCTACTTCTTCTTTGCTTCCCGCTGGCCGAGTTCAAAAGTCTAAGCTCCGTTGCCGCGTTTCGTCAGTGCAGCTACAGAAATTGTCTCATGGGGCGGCATTGGGAATGTCATGGTGGTCGGTCACTTGTACCTCGCCAGCTGGCCTGTTCGAAGTCATATACTCAGGTGGTCGACAGTAACTAAATCGTTCTGGCCGCAGTCCTTGGCGACGTTGTGATTTGGTCCGGGCATCTGCCAGGAGTGTTTCTGGAGGGCATGGTTGGCTGCATCGTGGAGGTCGGTCTCGCCAACGAAACCACTTTCAGTGGGTAGATGCCAGAAATACATCTCGCCATCGCCTTCTGTTGTCTCATGGAGTCAGCGGTAGACACGGCAAGTTCGAAGAAAATCGCCGTAAACGTTTTCGAAGAGAAACACCGGTTGGCATAGCTTCTCGACTTTCTTTTCGGCTTTATTTAGGTAGTCGGTAACGTTCGCCTTCTGGTCACATCCAGGTGGACGTAGCTTTTGGAAAACGAAGAAACTGGATGCCATATCCAGGTTATTTTCGAGGGGGCTCAGTAGGCGTTGTGGTTCCTCAAAGTTTTTTTAGCTGTCGTTCACACGCGATGGTTGTTGTAGTGGTGCTCAAAACTCTATTTGGCCAAGGGATTCGGACACGTACGGCCCAGGGTTCCCGCAGGACCCCCACTGCGCTATGCGTTCATGAGTTCATGTAGTTGCATGACGTGGGCGGCCCGGTCAGGGGTGGTCTTCTACTTGGCCGGGTCCGTCGAGTGCAGCAGGGTCTCCCATTCCTCACATGTGGTCAGTGGCTGCGGGCTGTACAGGAGAGGGTCCGCCAGGCATTCGAGAAGGATATGGGTAAGGGCAGTGTGGGGTGAGTGCATTGAGCACAGAACGGTGAGTATGTTCTTGGGTAGATGCGGGAAAGGAAAAAGGGGGAGGGAATCGTGTGAGTCGGGAGGCAGCGCCTTATTATCTGGTGAAAATTGTCCAGGGATCGGTGGGGTGGAGGGTATTGCTGACGTTCTGCACGGTGTGCTTCAGTCATCTCGCTGAAGAAATGCATGCGCTCCCTGGAAGAGTTCGACTCCAAGTCCGTAGCCGCCCGGTAGATGAGACCTCGGGTGTGGCCATTGGCGGCTTCGTTGACGGAAAATCCAGAGTGAGCAGGCACCCAGATCAGCTGCACATGGCTGGCCGCATGTTTGTCGGGTAAGCTGAGTATGCGAAAAGCTGTGTCATGGACTCGGCCGCATGAAGAATTTAGAAGTGCGATTTTTGAGTCAAAAAAGGACGTACCGGGCATCATTGGAAGTGAGGGCAAATGTGATCGCCGCTTCTTCTGAGGATTGCGGGTTGGATGCAGGCGTTGGGCGACGAGTCACTATGGACTGCAGTGTGCGATCAACGACTGCAACTGGCACATCAACGGCCGTGCTAGCTGCATCCACCCATACGCCATCTTCCTCGGAACCGTAGTATTTGGGGAGCTTTTGCACAAGCCTTGCGGTGGGCCGAATCGTATGCAACCTGGGTGTTCCTAAGGAGAGGCTTTGTGGTGAGCTTTGTGTGTATGTGTGGAAGGACTGGTAGGAATGAGGGTTCAGCTGCTGGTATGTGAATGTTAAGGGTGTCAAGTATGTGTCGTCCGGTGAAAGTCTTAGCTAGACGAGTGTATCGGGCTTGTCTGTTGGCTTCTATCAGTTCGTGTGTAGTGTTCTGAAGCCCAAGTTGAAGAAGTTTTGTGGATTGGGTGTTAGGACGAAAATGTAAAGCCACCCGTGTGTGCCTTTTGAAGCATGTCATTTAGGGTTGCTATTTCTTTTTGTCGAATTCGGAGATACGGGACTGTATAAAAGAAGTGACTCCACACGCGATCAGACTCGTGACTGGGGGACACTGGGGAATGTTTCGGCTTTTGCGAACGTTTCACTCGCAAGTACAAATGTTGTTTCTCGCCATGAATGGCCATGTTTCGGCCAATTACAGCCTTGAGGTTTCTGACAAATAAGTTCAAGAAGTGGGTCTCGACGCCCAATTCTACAGCTGAACCACGAAGCCCACATTACAGCTTGCTTTAGAGTCTCCCGCACGGCGTCCCTCCGTGATGGTATTAGAAGCGTAAAAAGGCCCATGTGCAGAGTCGGGATGGTTCCCTGCGGATCCGTCGTGAGAGAGGCCCCCTTGACGAGTGTCGTCTTCAGGTTTGGTCACTAGCCGTAACGTACTTGCGTCAAATGTTGATGAAGAGTCTGCCAGACCTAGTGGTCATCTGCAGCCTGAGAGCTGCAGCCTCGAGGTGGAGCCCCTCCTCAGCTCGACCCTCGGTAGCGGTCAGGTTGGAATGAGTGGCAGCAGAGAGGTGGGAGGGAGTCCGGCCAAAAGCAGGGATCAGCTTATCAGTATGTTGATGCCAAGCTGCCTACTTGCTCCGATTACTACAAGAGCTCCGTGAGGGAACACCGGAGCTTGCGATGGTTTTCCGGTGGGCTCGCTTCACGTTCATGCGACGCGGCTGCAGTCAACATGAGCTTGAGTGCGCACAAAGTTGGCAATATGGCAGGTGACAGTTTGGAACTGCACGCTGCAAGGCTTCAGTCGTGACACGGAGATGTGTAATGGTGTGCTGCAGCTCCGCGGCGCAGTCGGATGAGTTGGTTAGAAGTGCAGGGGTGCCATCCGCGGAGGATACAGAGGCTCAGGTCCTCATGGTGGTAGAATGCAGTACCAAGGACGCGTGGACGGCACCCCTTGAAGATTTAGCATTGATCAAAACCATGGCAATGAGTTTCGTACCATTGGAAGCGCCAACAGCATTCTCAGGCAAGCAGACTCCGTGTGTGTCGTATCGTGACCTGGTGCTAGGGCAATAATGAAGCAATGTTGAGCCATCGAGGAGGCCTGAACGCTGTCCGCAGACAGCGCGTGAAGTGCCGACAGGTTGCTAGGTATCGAGACCACGACGATGACCAAGAAGGGAAAGGAGAGAGTGCGATCTATTTTTTTTGAGTGCCTCTCGCGTGATGTGGCGTCGCCAACATCTCGCAAAACATAGCGCCACTTGTTGTCACGTGATACTGTCACTGGACCAAAGATAGCCAATCTGCGATGCAACGCAAAGCCAGATGAGGTTTAGGAATATTGTGGGGTGGGCGAGAAAATACAAATGCATTCATAAAGACGAAGAGGAAGCTTTCGTCTGAAAGTCCTGTAAGAGATCCTATTTTCTTCAGTTAGGCTAGAGGAACGTTTCTACCTGCAATTAGTAGTAGTTTATTGTTACCTCAGCAGCTCACCTTGTATTTCACTGAGATGCGAGGGAAGCTGTTTCAGATCTCCCTCACTGCTATTAGTAGGAATTCTCGGTTTTACCACGCCATGATCGGCATTATTATCCTTTTGTTCATACTGCTCTTCTTGATCGCTATATCTGTCATATTCCAAATCAGCTGCGCCATTCACAGTTTCTCTGGCTTGTACGACTGCGTAAAATGCATTCGCGCTCTTTGTGGAAATTATTTCAAATAACTTAAAAGCTTAGTGCTCAATAATTCGACGTCCATCTGAATAAAAATGTATGCTTGGTGTTCATGTATTGCCTAACAATTTGTAGCACTGAAACTTTCTCACACTTACTGTCGTTAAAATACTTCGGTTGCTGTCAAATGCTTAACATTCATTCTCTGCTCATATAAACAAACCAGTGAATAATTTAAAGTTCTGCTCGTACGTTTCAGGCAATAATTCAGAGGGTGATATTATTTTTCTTTAGACCCACTGAAAATTAATGCCAATATTGCCTCTGTGAAATGTTTCTATTTGTGCTTGATTTATTGATTGATATGTGAGGTTTAACTTCCAAAAACCAACCTAAGATTATGAGAGATGCCATGTAGTGGAGGGCTCCGGAAATATAAACCACCTGGGGTTCTTTAACGTGCACCCAAATCTGAGCACACGGGCCTACAACATTTATGCCTCTATCGAAAATGCAGCCGCCGCAGCCGGGATTTGATACCGCGACCTGCGGGTCAGCAGCCGAGTACCTTAGTCACTGAGCACTAGGTCACTACACCACCGTGTTTGTGGTGATATAGAATTGTGCTTTCATATGTTTCAGCTGGCTGTAATGTAAGATAAAATAAGTGTAAGAATATGTTTTGATCGGTTTTCATCGGCACTGCCTTTTAATCCAGAAGGCGTCTTATTTTTTTTTCAAAGCTTGATGACCAAAAGTGCCTTTTTTTATTGCTGATCCTGAATGTGGTTCTTCTAAAATGCAGCCAGTCGGTGTGAAAAAAAAACATATGTTCGTAGCATATTTTAGCTAATTAACCTAATAAAGTTTATGTTGGCACAATACAGAGCAAATAGCCTCCCCATGGTTGATAAAAAAACTACGTTATAAAGAAAACAGCAATAGATGCCACAACTTTTTTTATATGCATATGCTTAGCACTCTTGGGCTATTGAACTCGGGAGCTTTCAGAAAGCAGCGGTGTGCGAACTTTCAAAACCCAGAATAATGCAAAATTGCTTAACTGCAGAGTACTGAGCTTTTCGCTGCCGAGCTGCCTACCTTATCACCGGAGGAGCTGCCCAATTTACCTTCGACATTGTCTTTATTCCAGGACACAGGATAAACATTGATATCCGAATCATCATGACTTCAAGAAGCATCTTTTTTGTGTGAATAGAATTGCCGAAACCACACGCCATCTTTTTATACAAGAACGGTGCTTCTGCCACAAATTTAAACTAGATTGTCGTTTAAATGCGGACATCTAGTTAATGACACACAGTCTGCGCCGTATACGAGTGCTTTTATTCTGAACACTGCCGGGGAGTGCATAATTCACTAGAGCCCCACCGCGGTGGTCTAGTGGCTAAGGTGCTCGGCTGCTGACCCGCAGGTCGCGGGTTCAAATCCCGGCTGCGGTGGCTGCATTTCCGATGGAGACGGAAATGTCGTAGGCCCGTGTGCTCAGACTTGGGTGCACGTTAAAGAACCCCAGGTGGTCAAAATTTCCGGAGCCCTCCACTACGGCGTCTCTCATAATCATATGGTGATTTTGGGACACTAAACCCCAAAAATCACTCAATCAATCAAAATCATACTTCTCTAGAATAAGCTCGGTTCGTGTAGAGCACTTTGATGAGAGTTTGGGCAGGACGAGCTCTGCACGTTTAAAGCTCTTTAAGGACCTAACTCACAGTGGTTAAGAAATGTAGACAAAACCGTCCGCAATGTCTTAAATATGGTGCTGGCATTGCTTCTTCAGATTTTTGTTTGAACTAAGCTTGCTTGAACTACAAGCCTTCTTACTTTTTTTGCCTTTTATTTAAAAGCACTTTTGCTAACATGGCGGCTACTGACGCGATTCTCGTAGCAAACATCATGGGTAATTAGATATGTATCAAAGAATCTGTAAATTAAAAAAGTGCTGTTGTTTAAATGCTGAAACTTTTTTGTCATACTAAGGTACAACGTGTTTTCTGACTGTGGGGACGAGACATATTTTCCGATATATTTGGCATAATATTCGAATTGACAGGTAAGTTTTTACAGAACATAATTATTGTAATTTCTTATTTAGACAGTTTGTCGCATATATCTCCTACCAGTATGTAGAAAAAGATGCATTGACGATCGCTAATATTTCTTTCTGTATAATAGAAAAAAAAGTGGAAATTTAATGTTGTCGTTTTTTTTGTTGAACTCAATAATAATGAGAATAAAGCGACCATAATGCTGAGTAAAGTACAGCGTACGTTACTTGTTGTTAATTTAATAGAAATATTAAATAGAAAATAGGCGGAAACATGACGCGCTGCTGACGAGGCCAAACCTGCGATCTTCGCATGCGTTATTAGAAGGTTGCAGCTTCGGTATATAACAGTGAAAAGTCATATTTCCATATACTTTTATTCCTACACGTTTGCATTGCATTTCCTAATAATTCACTTCTGTATAGCTTGCTTGCCATTATTGTTTGTTTTCGTTATTTTTTATGAAAATAAAATCTTCTAGACAAATATTACTTCAGAATTCGTACTTTCTTGCGAGTAGTAAATGTGGAAGACTCACCTCCTTTAGCTTCAAAGACGCCAGCAGCTGTAAAATTAGCGTTGTGTTTTATTATATACGAAGCATCTATCTATCTATCTATCTATCTATCTATCTATCTATCTATCTATCTATCTATCTATCTATCTATCTATCTATCTATCTATCTATCTATCTATCTATCTATCTATCTATCTATTTATCTATCTATGCGCCTACGTCTAGGTACTTCCTTAGCTTGGTGTGCACCACAATTAGTATGAATGGACAAGAAGTTTTGACAATTAGGACCCTCTCGTAATGGGATCTATACTGTGAAAACTTTTTCACGTGCAAGGTCACATTCTTTCCTCTAGACACGTGTTGTGAATACCCATGTACTACGTGCCCGCGTACCCGTGTAGCAGAGGTGTTTGACAGGTTATCTAAACCGAGGAATGGCGAGAAAATCTATGGTAATTTCAGCGCGAGAACATTACACCAAAAAAAAAAAAACCGACATCAGCAGCGAAAAAATTGACATCGGCCACTGTCGGATGGTAAAAATAAATGTTATGGTCTCACTCACAATCTAACCCATTCACTCTACGTGGCAGTCATGTATTCTACAGGGTAGGCATGCTAGGTCTCGAAACTGGCTTGGAAAAAGACCCTATGACTGTTTGATGTTGGTTAAACGTCAGGTGCGGTGGCGGTTGCAGCACTCCTCGTCTAGTTTTATAAACATTACGTATGCATTGCACTAATGCAGGTGTCACGTGTGGTCAGCATCAATTTTAGTTAAGCGTTATCCTGAGAAGTTGGTTTTCGTAAGCTATCAAGGACTACCATCTTCGCAGGCATAAAATCTACATTTCAGGCGAGCGCTTCTAGGGTAGTAAATACACATGCTTCTCTTGAAATCGTTGCGCACATGTAAGCAACTGTTATACAAAAGATATGTTATTGTTCACCATGAAGTTTTACGTAAGTTTACTGTGATTTTGTCACGCTTCACTCAACAAAAACTTACAGCCCAGTCACCTACTCTCCACATGATTCGGATGACGTCAATTTTTATGGTGTGCGGAATCTACCAAACTAAAGATAACTAAAGTACACTCACAAGTAAGCAGCTCTCTTGATGTCGTGATATGAATGTCATAATTGAATTTATTACAATGAATGTTGCCAAGAAACACATGTATCAACTAAGAATCTGTATATTCTATTTCCTATTTACTGTGTAGAACCCGCAGCGTCTGTGTTTGCCTGTACCGCTGTTGCGTAGGACCTGTACTTTCCAGCTGATAATGCGCACATAGGCGTGAGCACGGGGAGGGGGGGGTTGGTTTTCCCCCCAAATCACAAAAGACGGGAGGTGCAAAGTATACCGCGTACACCAATATTATAGAGAACGCGGGCGTTGCGACGAGCCGTCGCACCCGCCACCCCTGAAGGGGAACCCTGTGCACGCCTATTAATGCACATAGAATCATTAATCCACCAACAACAGTTAATGTTTTATTTATTGACCATTATTTTGTCACATCCAGGGGAAAGCGTGGATGCCTAAACCACCAAGGGAAAACGACAAGGCGAGCGAATCTTGCTCGCCTTGCCAAAGGTTCCAAGCCAGAGAATTTATGAGGGGGGTTAATAAAAAGCGTGATTCGCTGAACTCCCGCCTCACCCATTATGCTGATTAAGCCAAATTTAACTTCACTACTAAAGTCATATGTATTTCCAGATGACTGCCTTTTTTATGATACGGATTTCAAGATGGAACTTAACCAATGAGTTCCCCACAGTACAAAAAAATGTACTGGTTCATCCTGGACTTTGTTACAGTGCAACACTAAACACGGAGTAAAGGATTGAAAACGAACAACAAAACGCCATTTATCTCCATTGCTCTCATTTGACCCGTTTATAACGTTGCGCTGTAATGACGTTTCTATTGATCCTAGCTATCTTCTTAACAAAGTCAGCCTAAAGAAATATTACAGTGTACCACATTAAGCTTGCCGTACGCATTTTCTTCAACCATTGAACATTCATACAAAAGAAAAAAAAACTTGTTTGTGTTCGAGGCAACACATCTGGTTTTACTGGACTGAACACGCGTATGTTGCTCTCCTACGAACAAAGTCCTTCGTTGTTATAAGGACAGTTTCGATACACAAACAATATTTTACGTTTTAATAAAAAAGTACGTGCAGCAGCCTACTGCTTATTGTTATAGGTTGTTGTGGGCAGCGGAAAGCGAAATACCGTGTGATATGAGAAGAAGCAAAATTTAACTGCATGTCTGTTTGCATGTTTGTGTCATTTAACTGCATACTTCCCTGTTTAACTTTTCAGCTGCAAGCAGTTCAGGTTTTTACCGTATTCTGCACAATATTAATGAAACACACGTGATATTACGGAGACAAGGAATAATAATTCTCGCTTTACATTAGAAAATACATTATTGTGCCTTATAATAAGCGCCGTGCTTCATGCAATGATTGCTAAGGAATATTTTCAGTCGCCTAATTATCTTTTTGTACACCTTTTGTTCTATACAGCTACTGTGTGCGTTAGAGAATACCAATCATCTTTTGGAAACGAGCAAAGGGACAATGAGCCAAAAGAAAAGCGGTTTTCCATTTATTTCCACATTTCGTGGTTGTGCTCATCCTCTGGATGAATAATTCGAATTGACCAGCCATTGGCCTTTACTGGAAAATAGTAGTTCATGGTAAGTTATTGCACTCGATCGTAGCTTGAGTTGTCGGGAGCACAGTTTTCGGGATTCACAGTTTTTCAGTAAAAATATGATTACATAAATGTTAACAAGCACATATAAATTAAGACATGCAGTAAAAATGCACTGAAGGAATTGTGGCCATCGGTCGGTTACTGGGAGAGAGATTTGAAGACTACGATTCAATTATATCTTTAATTAGCTGTATAAAGTCTGCAATGTTTTGCATATAGTGCATGGAAACTTTTTTTCGGTGTACTTGAAAAACAAAAAGGGTGATGCTGTAAGCGTCATGTTAACGTCAGGTGACGCAAACTTTACCTACTTCCAACGTAATATAATTTCGTATTCAGCCCAGGCAGGAGAGTCGACCACTATTGATATCAGTCGTCTAACCACAAGCCACAAAAAACTTAAAATGAGGCACCTGTTTCTTTTTCATTGTTCAGTTTACGCACGGTCAACTTCGCTCACTATGTCTTGTCATAATACACGTCGCCAATTACAAGTTATAGCACCGTTATCAGAGTACTGGCAATGCGGCTTATTTACCGCGTTAAGTTCAAGCTCTTGCGCTTCTTTCTACTCCAGTTTTCGGGCTGACAGGCAAGCCTAGGAATATATTCAAGCTGCTCCTGGGAAGTCCGGACCCCGGCTGTTGTTACATCTGTTGACTGAGTCTTGGCAGCTTCGGCGTAGCCTCCGTTTGAACAATGATGATAAGAAAAATGTGATGGAAAACGACGACCTCAATCAATTACTGGTAGCTTCATGTAGGAATTGACTGGCTTGCCATTAGGCGTGTGAGCGTTCTCCATCATGCTCCTTAAAAAGTGATCAGTTGCATTAAGGTGTGTGCATCGACCAGGAGAACCTGTGATTAAACGCTAGTAAACGTTTGGAGGAGACCAACATTATAAATTCTGAATTGAGGCAATAAAATATGACCAATCACTCTTCAGCGTTATGCGCGGGCTCAGGTATGCGAGTCCTATATGCGAATGCTCAAGTATCTACCATCAATGTTTCAGTGCGGCCAACCGACGGCCAGACAGGTTGCGTTCTATGAACGTAGTATTGACAAGAGCAGATCACAGTGAATCGGTAGTGTGCACTAGAGTGTGCTTATGTAACACATGCAATTAGGCAGGTATTTAGGTCACCGCAATATGTAACATTCATCTATAAAGTACAAATATGTATATCAATATTACGACATTATTCCCACGCACGCAGAACACTATTGCAGTTGTAATTCACTTTACTATAGAAATTTTAGGATAGCGTCATTTGATATTCTATGCTTAGTGTACAATGAATTTTACCCTCCATTGAAAGGCCACTTGTAGTAGGAATCTGAATACATATCATTTGCTGAACATGTGTATGCATTATACTGGATATGCAAGAACAGACAATCATGACTCCGAAATATTCGGAATATTGGTATACTTACCAATAGCTGCTAGCAGAAGTAAAAGAAATACTTTTGTCATGGCGGTTTCAGTAAACACTGGGTGTTCTCTGGCTTCCCAGAGAACATTCCCGGAACCACTATATATATGTATGGCTCAATATAGAAACCGTATTCGCGGAAAGTGCAATGTACGATTCATATTTCTGACGACTTCAGCACTTGAGAAAATGACTCGAACGAGAAAAGGAAGGCAGGGAGCATTTCCGATTTGAATATTGGCGGACGAAAACCTTTAACCTTTATGACCAGTACTTCAAAGGGCTACATATGTTGTTCACACGTTCTTTTACAGGATGTTTGAAAAAGTTTAAAGGAATTGGCACCGTGTCTCATTCAGAAAAGCAGTAGGGTTGACCAACACATCAATAAATATTAACGAAAAAAGGCCAAACGCATTTTGATTCCAATACTATTCACTTGCTCGTAATTAAACATGTTTGCTGTGTTGCCACTGATTTTCATGATATTGTACAATGTTATTATTTCGTGTTCTGGCTTTGTTTTTTATGTTTACCTAATTTGTTTTCCACTGTGTATCGACCCCCCCCCCCTTACACAATGCCTTTCGAGGCCTGTAAGGTATTTGTAAATAAATAAATAAATATTCAAAGACTAAATGTAGGAAGCAGCTTAAGTGGTTATAAACGAACCATATAATACCTACTTCCCTTACGTATATAAAAAATGTTAGCAAAACTCATGGAAGTACTTCGCAGGATCATTAGTTCATGGACACGACTCTGTGAGGCAGTAAGTCTGCAACAGTCAAATAAAACAACCATTTTTAAAAGGCACATAAATACTTAAAATATAGTGCATCGCTGCAAAGACGTAATTAGAGTTTTTAGAGATGCGCAAGCTTCGCCTTTACGAACAAACCCCGCTGGTAGCGTCAAAGTTCATTTGCATCACCGATGCATCACTTATTGGTGCGCATCTCAATCATGCCGTGACGGAAGGGCTGTTTTCGTGAGGGGCCACACGTGGTTGTAAATTCTCTGAGACCGCATTCACAGTTGTGCAGGGAAGCGAAAAAAAATGCCAGACGAGTCAGAAAATCATGACCGCACCCGTAGAAAATATTCCCATCAGTTTTGCCACTTGTGGACGCTACCGCTGCTGCCACCTTCGCTGCTTTGAGAATTTAATTGTGCCAGCTGTCGCGTGTCCCATTAATTAGGGAGGCAATCGCCGGGATAATTCTAAAAGCTGACGTATTGGCTCCCCGAATCGCACCCTGAAGGTGCGGGCCGCTTATCATGGGTCCCTTTAGTGTGGCAGCGAACACTGACTGTGGTCCAAAAAACGAGGCAGAGCCGAGAGTTGATAACAAAACAAAAATATATTCTTTATTACGGCTGAACAAACAACACCAAAACATGCACACTCGGCAATATTCTAATACAATACATCACCAACTCAAAGATACTCAAAACAACGGGCTACACAATGCAACTACATGAACTCATAACGAGATGCACGAACAACAACATGTGCTACCATGCAATTTGATGTAATAAATAACCAAGACACTTATAGCCTAAAATGTTTGTCAAATATAAATCTATTCACTCAAAACTTCTTGGAACAGCACTTGAACGCTTCTATTCAAGGAAACACTCACTCACAGACCAGTACCGTTTGTCATTCCGCTGTGTCCGAGGTTTTTTTTCCGGGATACTTTCACGTCATCAATGGACTGCACTTCAATAACAAAACGGCTTTGTCGGTAACACGTCGGCCACTCACGCGCTGTGACGGCAGAACACGTCTTCGCACACGGGCACTAAAACCCACTCTTCTCCTGCTTGTAAGACAAGCCTTCACCCGAAGGTGGAAAAGACACTTCTTCGTCTCTGCTCCTGCTCCCCTCCGGTGCTTATCCACTAGCCGCTGCGTTTCCGAAACTTCTAGGTGTTTCGTTGGCGTTCCGCACTGTTAAGGCTGTGAAAAGGGTGAGTCTTTTCTCGTAACGTGACGCACTTCTGCATCACCACGGCCCTTTCCTTCAATATGTTTCCAGAGATCTGTCGGTGTTAGATGCGAGGAGGTTGGTCGGTGTGGCGAGGGCGTTTAGAAGGGGGAGAAGAGGCATGTGCGCGGTGTACTTTGATGCCTTTTTTTTTTCAATACGCCGGCGTTTGTCACGTCTATTCGGCGCCTCGACTTCACGTAGCGGTTGCAATTCAGACTAGTGCGCTTTGTTGAACTCTCGTTTGAGAAACCAGCTTTCTAGCTGACACTAAATTTCATACTGAATACGAACTATTCACGCTGAACTCTGAAAAGAAACAGCTCGCACCTTTTCAAACGTTGTTTCAGGCGATACTTCAGCAGAAACGACCTGAGCGAACGCACCGCCAGTGGCGGCGGCAGATTAAACCTGCTATGGACAAAAGCGAGACACGTTGGGGCATGCTGACTTGCTGATGCTGCACCGTTTGTTGCAATGTTCTTGGCTAATCCTAATCCAAAACTGGTTTTAGATGAATGCGTCCCCGTTGAGGCCGTCAAGGTTCGTCATGCTGCACGCGTAGCTTGCAATTTCAGCCGATGCGACCCACCGTGGAAGCTTCTGCCGCTTCGCTGAAATAGCGGCTGGCCTTTTTGACATCTTTGTTTAAGCTAGTACCAAAGCTGCGAAACGGCAAGAACATGCACTTTCGAGTAACAAAAATCAGTCTTTTCTGCGCCAACTTCACGGCATGGTTTTCCAGTCGCTTTGGTGGCGAGGCGAGTGAACTTCCGGTGTGTTTTTCCGCTTTCGCTCCCTTCGAGACCACGTGTGAACACGTCCTCAGGGCAGTTACTGCCGCTATAGTTCCCCTGTAACCACTGATCCTCTGCAAAAGGGTAGGCGCACATACCTAGACACATTTGTAATCGATTTTATTTCTACAAATTTGTTTTCATCTCAATATGCATCCTGAACATCAGCAACCTCCATGTAATCAAATAGAAATTGCTCTAGGGGTGGCATCTCAAGCGCTAAATACCACAAAAAAAGCACCATGCGCTATACAAGATGACTCTGTGAGATAGAAATGACGTTCACGTTGCTCCCAGCAAGTAATTGTTCCAGTTTTTTTTATTTTATTACTATTATTTCTATAGTAAGAAACGTTTTCATTACCCACAGTGACTAATCACAGGAACAGTCACTAACTGATTCGGAGATCAATCACACTTCTCTCTAAGTATTTAGGACATACCAGCCTACACATTTATTTTAAATTAGCGCACAACGTAACCGGGGAGTCTTCAGGTATGAGACCATTGGTTAGGAAAGAACTGCAGCAGAACAGTGACGACTGCGGGAAGTTATGTTACCAAAACAGCTCGCAGATTTCCTTTAAGGTTGAAACGATAAACGCTACAGCATCAAAACTAAATGCCGTAGAAATAACAGCTAGCAGAGTACTCCCCTAACAAACATACACATACTCCCCTAACAAACATGCTGCTGCTGCTGCTGCTGCAGCAGCAAGATGCCATTTATGACATCAAGCATCACCGATACACCTTCTACGCGCCCCGTCGCGGTCGTCTAGTGGCTAATGTACTCGGCTGCTGACCCGCAGGTCACGGGATCGAATACCGGCTGTGGCGGCTGCATTTCCGAAGGAGGCGGAAATGTTGTAGGACCGTGTGCTCAGATTTGGGTGGCGGTTAAAAAACCCCAGGTGGTCAAAATTTCCGAAGCCTTCCACTACGGCGTCTCTCTTAATCATATGGCGGTTTTGGTACGTTCAACCCCACATATCAATCCAACACCTTCAATGCGGTGCAACTTAGCGAAAGCGCTAATGCGCCTCGTACCTTCGAGGCGGATTCCTTAAGGAATCCCTTTGGATATATGAGCGACGTGTTTAAAAGAGTGTGGTATATGAAATACTTTACACCAGTAAGTATAGCGTCACGTGGTAAACGATTGGTTAAGGGGTGCTTCCTTGTAGAGTGAAGCCATTGCGCGCGTATGTACAGCGTGCAAGAGCCAGAAAGTTTAAGACTAATCAGTTGAACCTTCTTAGCCCACGATGCGTATATTCGGCATATGCCGTTGCTCTTTTTTGCTACCTTTTGCGATCGCGTTGCTATGCCCAGCATTCTATAGCTGTAGTAAAGCGCGTAAATCTTTAAATCGCCGTCACGATAAATCTGAGTAAAGTTTAAAAGCAATCCTCACAGAAGCGTGGTTATGTACAAGTAGACGTCCTTGTGTCAAAACAGTGGCACCAGGTAATGACTATATTCACAGAGCAAACTAAGGAGTGCTACATGTACGGTTTCTAAGCGCTTGATGAGGAGGCTAGATTTTGTATAAGAAATTTGTCCTTTATTACTGGTTTTAAAATCTGTATTCAATTGAGCAGGTAGAATTGTGGTGTACTCTGACATGTGAACTAACAAGTTATAACGAGAAGACCCTAGAGCGAACGCTAACTGCAACTGCCGGTGTACTAATACTAGTCGGCGAGTTTTTCACGGAGAGCTCCGTAAATCACCAAGAAACCACCATTCAACTTTCAGAGCGCTGATGTGGGCATGATCCTAATTGAGTAGGAATGGGCCAGTTTATGCTACGGGACAAATTAATTGTGTGGGAATCACTGACATGCTACAGTTCACTTATGTATTGGGAAACTGTACAGCAATAATTATAGATACAATCATATGTCATGTGAATTTGCACTATGCGCAGCTACCTGTGAAAAGCCCTGATTAAAACGAGTAATTGATGAAGCGTTAGAAAACGTGGTGGAAGTAAAATTCTTGTGAATTGTTCAGGTTGTTACGTGAATTCACTTGTACCTCCTTTATATATATATATATATATATATATATATATATATATATATATATATATATATATAAGGGAGAGAAGTGTATACCTAAGGGCTCGTATTTCCGTGTTTTAACACAATAATAATGAGATATAACAGACAGTAATGCCAAGGAATGTACAGGGGAAGTTATTAGAACCAATGGAATGTAAATAGGAAGAAAGAAGAAAGAAAAGTGGATGAAAAAGTTACCAGCTGTGAGCGGGAATCGAACCTACGACCTTCGAATAACGCGTTCGAT